TCAATCCTTAGTCCCTCCTGCTTTGGGGAGCTCATCTCGCCCATGGCTACAAACATGTCACTCCCCCACGTCACATCCCTATCTGAGGGGGAGCTGTAGGCTCCCCTCAAGGAATCTAACTCAACACTGATGTCCAACAGCCAAACCACACCCAATGCATCCAAAACTGAGCTCCTCTCTCCTCCCTGTACCTGCGCACCCTCAGCTTCCGTCCTGTGGGGGAGAAGGTGCCATTCCACCCTTTCATGGCTCAGGCTGGACCCTGGAGGCTTCTTTGACCTCTTCTGTTCCTATCCCACTTCCACTTAGGAAATCACCTGACTCCTCCTTCAGAACATGCCAGAATCTGACCACTCCTCACCACCTCCACTTGCCCCCTCCTCCTAATGCAGTGGCCTCTGCATGGTCCTTCAGGGTCCCACGTGATCTGCCCCCAGCATCCCTCCACCTCATATCCAAATGTCTGAGCTCCAAATAGCCAGAGTGGAGAACGCTCGGTGGCCAGCCAGGAGTCAGCGAGGACCGCAGAAGGACCATGCGTTAACAGTAGGACTGAATTGTGCCTGGAGCAAGGGTCCTCTGCAACCGTCCTAGCAAACCTTAAAAACGGTCTTCAAAGGCACCAGACAGACTTGTGCGTAACTTAACTGCCTGCCCGACAGAGCCCACGCTCTTTAAGGAGAGAAACAAAGTTCAGATGGTCAACAATATAACAAAAAATGCAAACACGGATCTATGCAAAGGAATGAAGAAAAAATATCACTGACTACAGAAAGCAAAAAAAGATAAGTGTATTAAGAGTTTCCCCGTGGAAATAGAAGTGAAATGAATGACAAATAGCACAAAGAATGAGGTGGGAGAAGCGAAAGCACAGTTGTGAGATGCTTACACTGTTGAGAAGGGGTGTAATAATATAATTTAAAGACTGTGATAAGTTGATGATACATGTTGTGAAACCAAGAGCAACCTCAAAGAAATTCAATAAAGAAGCAAAGATCATAAACCGAGAGTGGAGAAAAATGGAATTAAAAAATGCTCTCTATGCAAAAGATGTAGGAAAGATAGAAAAAAATGTCAAGAAGGATTGAATGAGACAAGTAGAAAATGAGTATCAAGGTAGTAGATTTAAATCCAACCATATCCATAATCACATATAATGTGAATGGTTTAAAAATGCCACTTGAAAACTGAAATTGCCAGTATTGATAAAAGCTGCCTGTAAGAAATCCACTTCAAATATAAGGACACAGATATATTAAAAGTAATAAGATGGAAACGAATATAACCATGAGCATTGTGCATAAGAAAGCTGCAGTGGCTATATTAATAGGAGATAAAGAAGACTTTAAAACAAAAAATAGTCCCAAGGATAAAGGGATGATTTCATATGGATAAAGAAGTAGATACATCAAGAAGACACAACAATCCTAAATAAGCACGTACCTAATAACAGATATTGAAACGGTATGAAGCCAAAACTAAGAGAACTGAGAGAAGAAATAAATGTATCCACAATATAGTGGATATTTCAATCTCATCTTTCATTAATCAGTAGAACAAGTAGACAAAAAAGAGTAAAGGTATAAGAACCTTGAACTACACTATCATCTAACTTGACCTAATTGACATTTCTAGATTATTCCACCCAAGAACAGCAGAATATACATTCTTTTCAGGAGTACCTGGGACAGTCACCAAGGTATACCATTTATCTCAATAAATTAAAAAAGACTGAAGTTACACAGGGTTTACTTTTGATCAGAATAGAATTAATAGAAATCAACAGCAGAAAGATAGTTGGAAAATATCCAAGTATTTGAAAATTACATAATATATTCCTAAATAACACATGGACCAGAGAAGGAACCACAAGGTAAATTAGAAAATATTTTGAGCTGAATAAAATTGAAAACACAACAAACCAAAATGTATGAGATACAGCTAAAGTATGTGCAGAGGGAAATCCCTAGCTTTTAATCATTATAAAAAAGGAGGAAGATTTAAAATCAATGATCTAAGCTTCCACCTTTATTAGATAGAAAAAGAAGAGCAAATTAGACCTGGAGCTAAAGAGGAGAAATCAATGAAGTAGGAGACAAACAGAGGAAGCCAATGAAACTCAAAGCTGGGTCTTTAAAAAAATCAATAAAATCTAGTATAAATCTCTAGTTAGACTGATTAACTCAAAAAGGGAGATGCTATAAATTACTAATATCTTGGATGAAACTGAGGATTTCGCTATCATCCTATGGACATAAAAAGGATCACAAGGACATATTTCAAACTACATCATGCCAATCAATTCTTAGAGGAAATGAACACCACCTCTTCAAATGAATTCCCAAATAAGTACAAACCCTTAATCTACTAATCTAGTTAAGAAATCAAACTCATGCCCTAACCGCTTTGGCTCAGTGGATAGAGCGTCAGCCTGCGGACTCTAGGGTCCCAGGTTCGAGTCCGGTCAAGGGCATGTGCCTTGGTTGTGGGCACATCCCCAGTCGGGAGTGTGCAGGAGGCAGCTGATCGATGTTTCTCTCTCATAGATGTTTCTAACTCTCTGTCCCTCTCCCTTCCTCTCTGTAAAAAAAATCAATAAAATACATTTAAAAAAATAAAAATTATAAAAAAAGAAAAGAAATCGAACTCATAATTTAAAACCTTCCCACAAGGAAACTCCACACACAGATAGATTCACTGAGGATTCTAGAAAGCACTTAAGATAGAAACAAGGCCAACTCTATGCAAACCCTCCCAGAAAAATCACTCAGAGGCCCTGGAACCCTTCCTAACTCATTTTATGAGGTTAGATGAACATATAATAACAAAGCTAGGACCAATATCCCTCCTAAACTTCACAAAATATTTGCAAATTGAATGAAGAAAATATACCATGGCCAAATAGAGTTTGTACTAGGAATGCAAGATTAGTTTAACAATTTAGAATCAATCAATAAAATTCACCATGAACAGGATGGAGAAATAAAACATGAACCTCTCAATAGAGGCAGAAAAAGCATTTGACAAAATTCAACACCAATTTATAATGAAAACTCTGAACAAATCAGGAATAGAAAGAAAACCCCCTGATAAAGGATATATAAAGAAAATTACAGCTAACGTCATAATTGATGGTGAAAGACTCCACACATTCCTTCTATGATTAATAACAAAGCAAGAATCTACACTCTCACATATTGTACTGGATCTCCTAGCTAGTACAATAAGGCAAGAAAAAGAAACAAAAAGCGTCTAGATTTAAAAGCAAGAAGCAATTCTCTCTTGGAAAATCTACAAAAAGGTATTGGACTTAATAAGTGATAGTTTAGCGAGGTCAATAAACAATAGCAATTTTATTTCTATAAAATAAAAACAATTAGAAATGAAAAAATGCAACAAATCTATTGACAATAGCATGAAAATAGAAAATACTTAGTAACAAATATATCAAAATGTATTTAAGAACTTTTCCCTGACAACTATAGTAACACATTATAGAGAAACATGAAAAGAAACCTAAATGAGAGATATTCCATATGCATGAATCTGAAGGCTGAACATTATGACAGTAATTCTTCCCCAAATTTTCTATATATTTAATACAATTTCCATCAAAATCCCAGTAGACTTTTTTTTTTTTGGTACCAATTGACAGACTGATTCTAAAATTTATTTGAAAATAAAAGGAACCTAGAATAAGCAACATGTTTTTGAAAAAGAAGAGAAATCCCTTGGACTCGAATTTCTTGAATTCAAGACTTACTAAAAATTTACAGGCCAAACCCTAACAGAACATATACTTAACCATATGATCCAGAAATCTCATTCAATTCCATAGACATGAAAATATAGCCCAGCCGGTGTGGCTCAGTGATTGAGCGTCGACTTATGAACCAAGAGGTCATAGTTCGATTCCCATAGCCCAGCCGGTGTGGCTCAGTGATTGAGTGTCGACTTATGAACCAAGAGGTCATAGTTCAATTCCCGATGAGGGCACATGCCTGGGTTGCAGGCTTGATCCCCAGTGTGGGGTGTGCAGGAGACAACCAATCAATGATTATCTCTCATCATTGATGTTTCTGCCTTTCTCTCTCCCTTTCCCTTCCTCTCTGAAATCAATAAAAACATATTTAAAAAAAAGAAATGAAAATATACATCCCTACATATATACTCACAGCAGCCCTATTCATAAAGCCCCAAACTAGAGACAGCTCAGAGATCCCTTAGCAAGTGACCGGATAAACCAGCTGTGGTCCTTCCCACCATGGGGCACGACTCACCTATAAAAAGGACTGAACTACTGACACATTCAACACACAGGCACGTCTCAAAAACATTAGGTTGAGCCAAGAAGAGCACACGTATTATGTAATTTCTCTTGTTTGATTCCCTTGAAAAGACAAATCTCACCTTCCGTGTCAGAAAGCAGGGTCGGTTGCTGACAGAGAGCAGGAGTAGAGCGAGGGGGTTCATGGGAGGGGGCACCTGAGAACTTTCCCAGGTGATGTAAATGTTCTGTGTCGTGGTTTTGGGGTAGTTACAGGGGTGTATACATTTTCCAAAGCTCATCAAAATCTACACTCCAATAGGACCATTTTCTTATGCATACGGCATACATAAATGAGAGTGGCACGGTTCCGGGAGGAAATGGGATTTTAGTGAAACAGCACCACTGGCTGAGACATCCTGAGGCTGCAGGCTGCACATGGCCCACCTCTGTGGCCCACAGTCTAAATGGGCAGGGCAGGCACTGATCTCAGGAGGACAAGAGGGGACTGTCGCCCAGGGTCCGCTAAGTCCCTGGGGAGAGAATGGCGGGGTGTCCCTGAGGAGTTGTCATGGGCAGAGTAGAAGCCTGTCTCTGCAGTTATAAATGGCTTTAGATCCTGGAATAGTACGCGGTTTCAGATGCTAATGCATAACTAGTACACATTCATCACAGGGCAGCCCGGAGCTTTCTTCTTTTTCTTTTAATATTTAAAATGACAGCAGGGACTTACCAGAGAGTTGCTTGAGGGCCACAGGTCTCACTTTGTAGGGAGTGCTGCAAGAGAAGACAGGTCACTGTGAGATGCTGTCAGAGACGGCCGGGCACACCTGGCCCCAGAGATAAGCGCTCAAGTGAATTAGAATTCACTGTATTAGTTGTTGTTGTTTTTTTAAAAATTAGTTCTTGCCTGGCCCGGGTAGTTCAGTGGTTGAATGTTGACCTATGAACCAGGAGGTCACGGTTCGATTCCGGTCAGGGCACATGCCCCAGTTGCGGGCTTGATCCCCAGCAGGGGGTGTGCAGGAGGCAGCCAATCATTGATTCTTTCTCATCACTGATGTTTTTATCTCTCCCTCTCCCTTCCTCTTTGAAATCAATAAAAATATATTTAAAAAAACAAAAGAAAGAAAGTACCTGTCTTACCACTGTTTGAACGGCTGGCTCTAGGAATACTGTGACAAGGCTGGCTCTACACAGGTGTGGTGGGGTGGGGAGAGAGCCAGAGGCGCTGAAGTCAGACGCCCCAGGGACCAGACTTGGGATGGGCTTATGAAGAGACCCTCCCATCGCCACAGGATCCTGAACGGAGCCCAACTCTCCCTGAAGAGCCCACCTCAGCTGCGAATGCGCACAGGTAAACCTCTCATGGGTGAACTGGGGAACCCCAAACTGGGAACTGAAGCAAAAGTGGGCGTGGGACTGGACTTGGAGACCGAATGTACCGAGCAGTCACAGGAACCTTCCAGGCTCTTGAACCAGACGCCCGGGTTGAGTTTCTGGCCCCTCCAGGTTGGCTCCTTGGTCCTTAACCCTGACTCTGAATATGCCATGGCCAAATAGAGTTTGGGTGCTCTCAGACCCAGGCAAGCTGCTGCCGGGACCCAGCAGCTCCTGGCTCGGTCAAGGTCGAGCTGCCTCGCCATTCTCTTCCTCAACAACAAACTGCTGCAAACTACTCTTGGATAAACTGCCTTGAACTTTCACTGCATCTGTCTTTTTTTGGAAAACATTACTGCCTGGGTGCCCTCCTTGGTAGGAGGAGCCCGGCCGGGACCCAGGAGGCCTATCTCCTAGGCTGAGGGGTGCCCGTATGCCACCTCACAGGCACACAGCCCCTTCACCCACCAGAACGCGACACCTGTGACGACTTGGCTAGAACGGGAAACCGGAGGAGCCCTTGTGCGAGGACACGGGCTGCGTCCCTCTGGCCCCTCCTCTCTCCCTGTGCCCGGCCACAGGCCCCATTTTCTTCTCATGCTATTTGAGCGTCTGTTTCTCTCTCCCGATGAGGATCTATCTGGACGCAGCTGTGGCAGAAACAGAGGGGTGGCGTGGTCAAGAGGCAACAGCTTTGTCAGCTGGACACCCTGGCAGCCAGAATGGCCCCCGGTCCAGGGAGAAGCGCGGGACCAAGGTCCCTCTGAGCGTTGTCCGAACAAGGTTGGGACGCGTCTATTCTACTGGTTGGTCCTCAGGGGTCAGGGCTGCTAGGTGATCAATCTCCCTTCTGACCAGCCCCCAGAGAGAGCGGGAGCCACGCCGCCGCGGTTAAATGGGAGCCCCCCCCACCCTCCCCGCCTTGTGTCATCTGTCGCAGGTTATTTAAAATGCGGCCTGGTCATCCTCTGACCTGGGGAAGGGAGGGACCCTCAGTGGGTCCTGGCCGTGGGAGGAGCAGGAATTCAGCACAGAAGAGGGTATGCTTTTGTGGTGGGGCCCTCCTGTGCAAGGGGGCCATGGAGCTGCCCCTGACCCTCTTGCCCCATGTGACAGCCATAATATCTCCAGACATCGCCAGAGGCCCTCTGCCCCCGCCCTGTGGAGAAGTGCTGCCACAGAGCCAAGTACCAGACCAGAGATAACGAGTGACAGAGTCTGAACAGAGAAACTGTTTCAACTGAATTCAGACAAAAATGTGGTCTCGCTCCATCAGAGACCAGCTTGCACTGACAAGGCGCTGGTCTGAGTGAGAGATCACTTGTCTTGTGGACAAGCCAGGGTGACAGGTCACGTGTCGGCTTTCCTTCTGCAGCGAGCTCTGGTTAGGCCGGAGTCTGTGCTGAGATCTACAAGAATTTCGCTGACGTCTTTAGGGAGCCAATTAGCACCGTTCCTTCCGGGGAGCCCGGAGCCCATGATCAGGGGGCAGAAGCTCCTGATGAGTGAAATTCAGGGAGGCTGATGGGTGCGGTGGGCGGGGGAGGCCTGGCTGGGGTGGGGGAAGCCTGCAGGGGAGGTTCCAGGTCACCTGCCATTAGGCAGCCGAGAGCCCTCCAGTTGCTGGGTATGTGAGTGTCTGCCTGGTGCAGGCTTTCTCCCAAAGGCTCAGACCAGCTGGCTCAGGCCAGATTCACACATGTCGCTTGGAGGGGGTGTTCAATGAGGACCAGGAGACACAGACTGGGGTCCCAAGGGGCATCCCCACACCCAATCGCACTCCTGTTCCCCACAGAGAATGCAGTTTAAATTGCCTCACCCAGCCCCTAGGACAGTGATGGCGAACCTATGACACGCGTGTCAGAGGTGACACGCAAACTCATTGTTTTGGTTGATTTTTCTTTGTTAAATGGCATTTAAATATATAAAATAAATATCAAAAATATAAGTCTTTGTTTTACTATGGTTGCAAATATCAAAAAATTTCTATATGTGACACGGCACCACAGTTAAGTTAGGGTTTTTCAAAATGCTGACACGCCGAGCTCAAAAGGTTCACCATCACTGCCCGAGGATGAAGTGGGGACCATCGGGGACTCTGCAGAGCACTGGGCAAAGGGGCCGATCAAAGATGGAGGGGCCGTGCTCAGAGTCCTCGTCCTTCCTTCCTCTTGCCACACACACTGTACTCATATTCGAAAATGTGTTCACCGCCGACCCCTCTCCTGTCCCTCCCCTCCGCACCCCTCCCTCTGCTGCCTCCCCTCCCCTGTGCAGAGAGGAGTCCCCGGGATTTCATCAACACCAGGATTCGTCCCGGTGGGAAAATGCCAACTGTCCCCCAGGGGCTCTGGTCAGGGAATGTCCTGCTCCCCTTCTGCAGGTGGACAGGGGGGTGGCTCCACTACTCGACACTCAGCCCCCTTGCCTCAGTTTGCCCATCTGTGAAATGGTAATAACACCAGTCCCTGCTCACAGGGCTCCTGGCCCCCTTACAATTGCTACCATCTGGGTAAGGAACCAGCTGAACGAAGCCTCCTTCACCGGCCCTCCCACCCCCACCCTCCCATCTTTGCTTTACATTCAGATTTCTACAGCATTAAATCACAAAAACAACCACAGAGATCCTCGGGTGGGTGTGGAGAAGTGTCAGACACCGCGAGGACAGGGTCGGACTAAGCCGCCAGCCGCTTACCTCTCGGAATTTGCGGGCATGGTGGGGTCGATGGAGACCATGGCGTCGTCCGTGGTCAGCAGGGAGATGGTCGTGTTCCTGGAAGACACGCCAAGTCGGCGCCTTCACGTGACGGCCTCACGGGGGCGCACCCTGGGATGGGCCTCGCGCGAGAGGGGAGCCCGGAGTCCCGAGAGCACGAGCGGACTTGTGCTTCGGACCTGACGCCCCAGTTGTAAATAAAGCGGAATGGCCGAGTAATCCCACCTGCTTGGTAGACTTCACGGTCATTTAAAACGGGACTTGGAGAAAGTCTCACTTATTGAGTTGGAAGGTTAAATAAAACAGGTGAAATGGGAATAAATGTTATATCGTTTGCCTTCCTACTTCATTCCTTTGGGAGTCCATGAATGGGCACGAATCTCTCGGACAAAACAGTTTTAAGTGAAAACGTGGAGTCTCCCTCCAACCTCTCCCCGGATCCTCCCGTGAGTGGCTGCCTGGGCCACGGTAGGTGAGCTGCCTGCTCTTCAGTTGTGTATTTTTAAAATCTGTGCAATGGGTGACACTCAAACCTCAGGGTTGGTCTAAAGCAGTAGTTCTCAACCTTGGCTGCACATTAGAATCACCTGGGAATCTTTTTAAAAGGCCACGACATTAGGTAACAAAAAACAGAATTTCTGGAGGATGAGGCCCAGAAATCAGGATTTTAAAAAGATTCCCAGGTGATTCTAATGTGCAGCCAAGGTTGAGAACCACTGGTCTATAACACATATTTATTTCTTAGCACAGCACTTAACAAAAGATGCCCCAAATGGTGGGCTATTTTTGCTGCTACAAACTGCCTGCCGTTTGCTGTAATTCAGCTCCGAATCCCTTCCTCACCCGCCTGTGAAAGACTCCGTGGTCCTTCTCACTCGCTCGCTCACCTTCCTGGACCTGGATCCTGACTTTAAAAGCAACTGCAGTGCCAAAGCTAATCCCAATCACTCTATAATAGAAAAGGTATGATAGCAAATCCATTTGCTCTAGGACACTGTTGATTTGGGAAAACAGTTCTCACGGAATGCTGACGATTCTATAAGGTAGGCAACTGGTCTTTTCAACGCATTTCTGAAGTCAGTCTCTTCCCAGATATTGATCTGTGATGACCCGCCTGAGCTAGAGAAGGCACCTGCTGGACCGTTTGGGGATGGGGGTGGTGGGGGCGGGCAAAGCCAGACACAGCCACCCTCCTTCATCCTTCCTCCAAAAGCAGATGAGTCAATGGAGGAGAAAGGAAACTCTTGATGCTACTTTCTGCCTGATTCCGCCCAACGGTTTCCTCCGTGCAGACACGGGAGCCTGTGGCACCAGCGGGCCTGCTGTGGCCAAAACCGCCAGGATTTCATTCACAGATGTGAAAGGGTTGCCCAGGTGGCCCTTCTGCCCCTCTCATCCCTCCCCCAGAGCGACCCGCCCCCCCTTTCCCGGTCAAGGTGAACTGAAAGACACGGAGGCGGGGGCAGAGAAGGCACACTCACCGAGGCAGGCCGGTGGCGATGCAGAAGAGGTCCATGATGTCGCTGGAGTTGCAGTACTTGCTGAAGACCACCTGCGGGACAGAGCAACAGGCCGTGAGGAGCGGCGGAGCGGCGGCGGGTCCACGCCGGCTTCAGAGTCCTGGAGCTTCCTCTCCGGCCCCAACCCGCAGGCTTATTTTAAAAAGAAAAAACGTAACCTTGGGCTCTGGAATGTTACACATAATACACGTCATTCAGTGCATGGAGAGAGGTTGTGACTAATTTCATTCCTTTGCCACTGAAAAGAGTTGTAAAATCCTAAGCTACCGCCCACGTAAACGCCCCCGCAGGTGACGGGCGGCCACATGCCCACCCTCCGTGGAGCCTGACTCAGCGCAGATAACCTTGGCTTAGGGATGTCTCATTGCAGGGAGTCCCCAGTGACCTCATGAGGGCCA